AGGCAGGGTAGAGCGACGGGGCAGGGAGGGCAGAGAGGGGAGACACAACCAACGCGCGCGAGCTCCCAGCATGGAGTGATCGGTTTTGGCAGCTACCCTGGGAAAAAAGGCACCGTCAGCACTGCAAAACTCGCATGAAAATCTTTAGCTGGCAAATGCAGATTCCCCTTTTTCAGAGGCAGTGAAGAGTGGAAAAGGCCCAAACAGAGTTGCAGATAAGGAAAGGAGCAGTGATGGGATCAAGCCATCTCCAGAGATGGGTTAGTTCAGCCTCCCCTGGATACAGCCATCTTCTTGGAAAGGGACTTTGGAATGAAAATAGAGGCTGGAGTACCTTTATCTACAGACACAGCTTAGCACATGGCACACACTTCCGTTTTACGTAGAACAAAACTGCCTTACCTGAGTAGTTTTCGCCCTTCTGCCTTGCATGCTGTTACTATGGCTAATTTGTGGGTTGGTGGCCCCTTCGGAAAGGCAGTGTGATTTCCTACAGGGCAGTGTATTGTAATTGCTGTAGGAAGGTGCATCCTCAGCAGTAACCGATGTCATCTTATGGCTCCCAATATCCGGGATGTCAGACACTAAATTCCGGCAGTACCCTCCAAAGGCGTTCCGTGGGCCGCCGTTGACGGTAGCGCTTGGGCTTTTGGGGGAATACAAGTCACTCATGGAGTTGGCACGTTGGCAGGTGACCAGCGGCTGGGGGGTGCCGCCGGCCCGGGTGGGCTCGGCATCCTTCTCTTCTGCCAAGCCCAGGATTTCCTCGTTGCTCGTTAAATGCTCCTGGCTGAGGTCAGAAAGCGAAAACTCCAGGCTGTCCTCACGCCAGATGTCAGCCGATTTGGAGCGCTTCTTCTTGAAGCTGGCAGTCTCCATGAAGTTTGTCCCATTGGCGGCGTATCGATGTGACCTCCCATCGCCCTCTGCCAGGAATGGTGGCTCATCTCCGTAGAGCCGGCTCTCCTCCGAGTCAGGCATGCTCTGGACGGAGGCAGCAGTCAAGACGGTGCTGCTGTCCACGCTGGGCGTGACAGAGGAGTCAGTGTGGTAGGAAACGGGCCGCAGGCCCATGTCCACGCGGTCTACCCAGATGGGGCTTCCAAAGTCCTCTAGGTTGGCCTCCTGGGAGAAGGGCTCCAGGCCATTCTCTGCCAGGGACTGGGGGATGCTGGGGGTGCTGCTGGAGCGTGTGCTCACTTCAGAGTTACGGTGGATAATTTTTCCAGAAGAAGCGTGCCGTGTCCGGCGAGAGGCTTTATTGGAGAGGCGAAGCGAGCGGGAAGTGTGCTTGCGGCCCAGACTGGCGTGCTTGTCTCCATAGAAGGCGTGCTCTACACTCTGGCTCTCCGCGTTTCCCATAGCGTCACAGTCTGCAAGGGGAGAGAGCGGGCACCGTTAAAGGTGGCAACCAAACGCGCAGGCAAGACACACAGGACGCCTCAGAACACCCAAACCGGCTTTTTGGGTTTTTTTAAATGAACCTGTCCCGAAACTTACACCACAGCTTCCACCGGGTCCCACAGGATGCAATTTAACAGCAGCAACTAATCCCATAGAATTAATTAAGGGAGCCAGCAACCACAGCAGCAAACTTCTAAATGCAACTCAGTTAAATCAATACGTAGGAAAAAGCCGGACGATAGCTACGCTGGTGTAAATGAAGAGCCCGGAAGAGGGAAGGAGTGAACCTTGAAGCTTGGTGTGAACTGAAGCCAGTTTACCACCAAGGTGCACTGGCAATCTCAGCTCTGCACACATTCACGTGACTCTTAGCATTAGCTTTGCAATTCCAGCCAATACTAAAAACTCAAAATATCAACAGCTATTGTTTATCTGCATGTAACAAGGTACCTAAAGTAGATGGATATATGCCTTTATCTGAGATTTCACTTCTTTTTTTTTTTTCCTAGGAACTGCGAACTGAAGCACCAAATAGCAAGGTACAAATTCAGCTGTTCGGCAGCGAGTTAATGATAGGTTTGATTTCTGGAACAAAAAAACAGTGCAACATTAAGCAGGTACAGAGAGCCCCACACAAGAAAACCATATTATGAAAAATAAATTAGCATGAGTGACTCAGACTATACAAAAATAACCTTTCCTTCCTACTCACTCTGAAGAAGATAGCTAGATCTAAGCGCTTTGATCTAGTAAAGAGAAAACCTGAGCTGGAATGCAGGGAGTGAGTCTCTGTCCCCACCTCTGTACCCAGCCCCCTGCATTACCCAGTTGCGCCCGTCCCCCTGTGAAACAGGTTTCCCATCCAGAAGAAGGGAGTGATGATCTGTATTGAACCTTGGAAAACAATTTGAGGTTTGTGATCTCACTCAACAAATGTCAGAAATATTTTATCAGTAGTACTGGCTCCTTCTGGCCAAAGATCAAGAAGAAGAACAAGAAAAGTAAATGTTAAAGTACATGGCCATTCAAAATTAAATAAGAGATCCTGAACTACACACAAGACAATTATATCTAGATAAATAGTCCATGAATCTTGAACAGATATTCCACAACAAAACTTCCTCATTTTGAGGTATTTCTACTTAGACTTGGTTGGGAAAAAAAAAAGCTGCCCTGACAGTACAATGATCTGGAGCTTTTCATTTCTTGGGGCAATTTCCTCTCCTCTCACAGCATGTGCTGATGGGAATTGCTGGCAGAATGAATGTAATGGTGCATTTTTTCTCGCTATCTAAATACACACTATCGCTCCTGCATAGAACTGAACCAAACCTACATAACCTGCACAGAAAGTGAGGAATCGATAGTGCTTAACCGCAGGCACAGCAGCTCTGCCATAGGCGTACGGTAGAACTGAACTTCTGTGCTGATACTCCTGACCACGGCCAGAGGACTGAGCTTCTCCACCCTTCTACCCAGCTGAGTAGGTTGTGTTTGAGGTTAAAATCTGCTCAGTGCTGGAACAACAGGCACTTCCATAAATATCTGGACATTTCTGTACCTAAAACAAATGCAGTCGCACGTCAAGTAAACTATACCAGGAAATATCCTACGTCTACTGAAATTAATGGCTGAACTCCCATTGACTGTCAGGAGACTTGGTTATCATGCACAGCTTAGAAAAATAAATGTGCTGAACGGAGGGCAGGTTTTAAGCTAAAAAAAAAAAAAAAAAAAGACAACATTATAAATCCCTAGACAGAGTTTATTATTCCTTAAAAGCCACAGCCCTTTGATATGGCCCGAGCTGAAGAACAAATGCCAGCTAGCTTTTGCTTCTAAAACATTTTATAGCACAAAAACTGCTTTTTGTCTCCCACACCGATGTCTAAAACCAGACCTTAACGCTCCCCATCTTGCAAAAGAAACCCTCTCAGGGTAATGCTTTTAGCTGCTTTGATTCTGAGGTCCCTGTTAAGCACACTCTCATTCGACAGCATTCCCACTGGCTGCAAAGCCCACCCGCGCACGCACCCGTTTATCATCTCCAGCCATGCCGCCATCACTTCAGTACCTACCTAAGGAGAGAGCGCAGTTTTAAAAGTCCTCTTGAACCCCTGAATGACTGAAGAGTGGCTCTTT